ACAAAATAGGGAAGGAAAGAATTGAAATGATAGTCTCCAAAATAAAACATAAATGATGAAATCTCCACTTGGCTCCTTTGTGTAGTGCATTGCCTGGGAGAATCATCCTTGTCTTCAAAGCTCCTGTAATTTACATCTTAGAATTCACAATGCCCAGAATCATTGTGTGGCATGCTTGCCAGAAGATGACCTTCAACACTCAATCAGAGAAGTTTCATATGCAATTTACTCAATGCCTGTAAGCGTGAAGGGGGGGGGGGAAGTAATGCTAAAGTACTCTTCCTGGATCCTATGTAAGTTTCCACTTACACTGCTACATGTCAAATAAAGAGATTCTAATTCCTTTGTTAATAACGGTCTCCTTAAACCAATGGAATGCATAGTCTTCAGCAATAAACTAATTTGGCTAGATTTGATTATGAAGAAGAAACCATGTAACTTTTTTAACTTTTTGAAAAACAGATCATTCTTCTGCTGGAAAAGATAAAAATTGTAACAATAACAACTCCCCTTATTCATTCTATTCAAGATAAAAGCATTTGTTGAAATGTTAGCCAACTACTTTGTTTCTGTCATCTTCTTCTTTTGTATTTAAGATATTCTGTGGAATAATTGTGGGGTTTTTTTTAAATGACAAGAATATAATCTTTTTTAAGAAAAAAATCTTGGCTAAGGTCCATTTGCAATGTAGATATAGGAGTAGAAAAGACTTTTTAAAAGTTAATTAAAAACTGAATTGCTAAAAGGGATTAAAAATCATGATGGTACCATCAACAAAACAACAAGAAAGCCCACTGCATGGGAGAACATATTTGCCAATGTTATCTCCGATAAGCATTTAATCTCCAACATTTACAGGGAACTCATACAACTTAACAAAAGGAAAATAAACAACCTAATCAAAAAATGGGCAACGGACCTAAATAGACACTTTTCAAAAGAGGACAAAAGGAAGGCCAAGAGATATATGAAAACATGCTCAAAGTCACTAATCATCTGAGAGATGCAAATCAAAATGACAATGCAGTATCATCTCACACCTGTCAGAATGGCTATCATCAACAAATCAACAAACGACAAGTGCTGGTAAGGATGTGGGGAAAAAGGAACCCTCATGCACTGCTGGTGGGAATGCAGACTGGTGCAGCCACAGTGGAAGACAGTATAGAATTTCCTCAAAAAACTAAATATGAAACTCCCATTTGACCCAGTGATCCCACTTTTAGGAATATATCCCAAGGAACCAGAAACACCAATCAGAAAGGATATATGCACCCCTATGTTCATAGCAGCACAATTCACCATAGCTAAGATTTGGAAACAGCCTAAGTGCCCATCAGTAGATGAGTGGATTAAAAACTGTGGTACATCTACACAATGGAATACTATGCTGCTGTAAAAAAGAAGGAACTCCTACCATTACAACAGCATGGATGGAATTGGAGAGCATTTATGCTAAGAGAAATAAGCCAGTCAGATAAAGATAAATATCACATGATCTCACTCATTTGTGGATTATAAGAAACAACATAAACTGATAAACAAAAACAGAATCAGAGATAGAGAAGCATCGAACAGATGCTCAAACCTCAGAGGGGAAGGTAGGGGAGGGTGGGGGTAAGGGGGAGAGATCAACCGAAGGACTTGTATGCATGCATATAAGCCTAACCAATGGACACAGACACCAGGGGGGTGAGGGCATGATGGGGGGGGGCAGGGAGGCAATGGGGGGATAAGGACACATATGTAATACCTTAATTAATAAAGAAAAAAATCATGATGGTGATTCAGGAATACTAAATAGGAACATTTTTTAAAACACTTAGTACCCAAAAGACCTTCTTAAGTCAAACTGTTTATTATTTGGAATACCATCCCACACTACCACCAGCACCTGTTCTCTTCAAGACCCATCTCAAATGGCCCTTTCCTGCATATTTATCTCTCCTTTTTTTTTTGGTGGGGTGGGGGGGGGGGCAAACCTAGACAGAGTTAGTCACTCCCTTTTGAGTCCCAGGCCATCCCCTGAGTGCTAGACATACCAAGACAAGAAGGAAACCGACTCTATTGCACCCCTGAAATGGGGGGAAGGCAATAATTAGATAAACTACAGTCCAACAGAGAAAATATCGCGACAGCAACATAATCAAATGGGCTCTAGGTAGAAACAGAACATGTATTTATAGTTTTGATGTTCCCACAGCACTTGATCCATACTTCTCCCATACCAGTTTATTTGTGTTCAGGTCAATCTCCACACTAAACCAAGAGTTCCTCCATGAATTCAAAAATGCCCATGTCGTTTCCTCTCTGTGCTAGGCATCATGTTGGCCCAGCAAACATCCCCTGGTTTCTGATCTAGAAGGAACCCTGTCCTTCTGTAGGCAGAGCCCAGCACAAGCCTAACAAACATATGATAGGAGTCTCATGAATTTTTGTTGAATATACAAATAATGAATTCCTGAATGAATTTGTAGTGACAATCAGGAGCGACTTCGGGGAGGAGAATGCAAAAAACATGCACACTTGCATTTAACTGGGCTTGCCTCGGGAAGTGGAAGTTGACGCAGGGAACCTGCTTTCTTACTTTGTCTTTCTCAATACTGTACCTACAACTTATCAGTCACTGGGGAAAATCAAACATTTGCAACTCCCGAATATTGATAACAATGACAGAAAATTGAAGCAAAGTAAAGGATCGGGAAACTGTTCACATGAGTTACTGTGCAAAGAACTCCTATTCTCAGAGCGTTAGCATGAAAAAAATGAGAATTTAAATAATTGTAGAAAAAAGTCATAGCAGTAGAAAACAAGAAATAACCCAAATATCCACCCACAGGATGATGGACACATTATAGTGTCTACATACCAAAATAAAAAGAAATAAACTTCTGGTGTGATGCAACAACATGCAAGACACTCAAAAAAAAGGTGATGTTGAGTGGGAAATGCCAGACACAAAAGAGTTCATATGGGTTGATTAAATCCATATGAAGTTCCAGAAAAGGTAAAGCTAATCCTTGCTGATAGAACAGTGGTCACCAGGGGAGGTGGAAGAGGAAATGACTGGGAATCATTTTTGGGAGCTTTTTGGGATGATGGAAATGTTCTATACCTTGTTTTGAACAGTGATCATGGGTGTATAACATTGTCAAAATTCACTAAACTGAATGCTTAAAACCAGTGCATTGTATGTAAGTCATACCACATTAATAATAATAATAAAAACTTAGGAATATCCTAATTACTGTTTTATTTTCAGAATTTTTATTTAAAATGTAATCTTAGAATCCTCATCTTTCATTTTGCAGGTTTTTAAGCATGCTTCTTTTTATTTTTTTAATTTTATTTTATTGTTTAAAGTATTACAGATAATAGTACACGTCTCCTTTTTTTTCCCCCCATTGACCTTCCCCTGGCCTCCCCTACCCTCCGGCACATGCCCTCACCCCTCAAACCCACCCCCCCCAGTGTCTTGTGTCCATTGGTTATGCTTATATGCATGCATACAAGTCCTTCGGTTGATTCTTACCTCCACCCCAACACTCCCCGGCCTTCCCACTGTAATTTGACAGTCTGTTCAATGCTTCTCTGCCTCTGTATCTATCTTTTTGTTCATCAGGTTATAATGTTCTTTATTTTCCACAAATGAGTGAGATCAGGTGGTGTTTTCTTTCATTGACTGGCTTATTTCACTTAGCATAATGCTCTCCAGTTCCATCCATGCTGCTGCAAATGGTAAGAATTCCTTCTTTTTTATAGCAGCGTAGTATTCCATTGTGTAGATGTACCATAGTTTTCTAATCCACTCATCTGTTGATGGGCATTTAGGCTGTTTCTAAATCCTGGTTATTGTAAATTGTGCTGCTATGAACATAGGGTTTAAGCATGCTTCTTTAAGTCTGTATTATTTTTGCAAATTATGCCATGATATGTTTATTTATGGATCAAATGTTTAGTGCCGATAAGATATGGCACTAGCCCTAACTTGTTTGGCTCAGTGGATAGAGTGTCGGCCTATAGACTAAAAGGTCCCAGGTTTGATTCCAGTCGAGGGCACATGCTCAGGTTGTGGGCTCAATCCCCAGTAGGGGGCATGCAGGAGGCAGCCAATCAATGATTTTCTCTCATCATTGATGTTTCTATCTCTCTCTCCCCTCTCCCTTCCTCTCTGAAATCAATAAAAATATATCCTATATAATAAAGAGCTAATATGCTAATTAGACTAGACGACAGAATGACCTTCTGGAATGACCAGTGGGCAGGGCCGTGGGGCCACGAGGCAGCCAGGGCTGAGAGGGCAGAGGCAGCTGGGGCTGCAAGGGCTGAGCCCCTTGCATGAATTTCATGCATTGGGCCTCTAGTATATATATATAAAAAGATATGGCACTAAACTAATGATAGAGCCTTTTGCCCAATAGGTCTCTACTCAAAAATTAGTAGAACTTCATATGATGTATTTCTTTGTTGTGAATTAGTTCACATGACAGCAGTGTGTACTCTCCTTCATAAACACACAGATTGCAAGGATGTCAACAGGACATGTTTTGAGTGTTTGCCCTTGGAGGTGGTGAGCTTTGTGCTGAATAATTCACACCCTCTCACCTGGCCTCCCATCACCCAGCCCGCATTTGCAAGGCAGTAGGTGCGGGTTAGGAATTTAATCTGTGGTAACTGAAACTGAAGTTCTCTCTCACTGAGTATGTTTGACTCTATGGAAACGAGAGAACCTTGACCTTGGCCTCATTAGCACTGACTTCCAAACAGCTAAGTGAAGCAGCCACTGGCACCTACCAATAATAAACAGAAAACATGTGGGGTTGATAGGGATACTTAGGTGCATAGGAGGCCATTCTTTCCATCCATGGTGACAGGAAGCAAATTCTCCAGCTCTCTGACAACCAGAATCACAGTCCATTCATCACCGCTGCCCTGCTTTTCCCTTCTGTGCCCCCAAACAAATATACAAGGGAGAGGTACAAACTCCACGAACAATGGTGTGTGAGAAATATCACAATACTTCATTTTGTTCCAAAATCAAAATACATGTGAGTGTAGGTCCTCATCATCCTGGGCCTCCCAGTGTTGAGCAAAACCCCCTGGGAACTTACCTAGATTGATTAATGTTGTTTAGACCAATCCTTCTTGTCTTCACCCCATAGCAGACTTCACCCATGTGCACATTGTCCAAGCTCTCATGCTCCCGTAAGCTCAGACGGCTCTGCTGATTTCTGCCAAGGTTGGCACAGAACTCTCTGCCAGGACTGACAGCCCCAGAGTCTCATGTACAGCCTCTCTATGTACACCATCCAGTCCTTCCTCTACAAGTTCTCCCCACAATGCTTCAAGAGGCATGGGTCTCTGCTACGTGAAGAACAAACTGAAGACCACCATTCTTTCTCAGTCTTCAGGGCTCTCTCCTTCTCTCTGTTTTATTTGGGGAAGGGAAAAAAGAAGAGAGAAAAATAAAATAAAAATAAATAAATGAATATCTCATTTATGCAAACACATGTACATATCCTAACAATATCACCAATGTCAATATATTAATCAATATAGCTGGTTTTGATTTGAAACTCTATTACTGATCAGCTATGAGAACTCAGACAAGTTACCTAAACACAGAAAGCCTCACTTCCTCGTCTATAAAATGTAAATAAACTTTAGTCCAATTAGTTTACAAATCTATTATGAGGACTAAACATTACAGCAATAATCTTGTATCACTTACGGAGTCTAACTGTTTTCCATTATTCATTCATGTATCTTCTATATAATCCTTTAAAGATGTAACAATGTTTTATAATGAGCAAAGAATGACACACAAGTTATATACTGTTGTGCTTTTAAAATGAAGACCCAGTAATCATATTTGATATGTTTTTTAAAGTTTCTTCCATGCCTGGCCCTAACTACCATACTATACACCACATATTTCCACATTCTATCAAGTATAAAGAACTGTACTTTCATTATTTTCTTGTTACCTTTTAGGCCCAAGTCCAACTTCCCATATGATGGCCCTATATTTGGGCAGCTGTTAATACAGGGTGGGGCAAAAGTAGGTTTACAGTTGTTCTGTCTGAAGGACCTGCTCTCGTGAGAGATCAAACTGATCCACCGCACAGAGAACATCACGATGTTTGAATCTGGTGAACAACAGGTGTCCTGTACATTAGCTGCCGCAGACACATGCATGTCAGAGGTTCAAATTTACAACCCATGAAATCCAGGAGCCAGCCTCCTAGAGGAGGTTTCTAGGGTCCAATATTCTGGGTCATATTAGATCATTCCCTCCAGAGTGAAAGACAAGTTGTTGCACCTTGCACCAAGAATATTTTTCACCATTTGGCGGGCCTCTGTATTTTAGAGGCAACAAATGACACAACAAATTGGTCAGAGTGTGCCGCTCTGATCAATTCAGTGTATAACCCATAAGGCAGCTAGTTTTGAGTGCTGAGCAAGTACTAGAAGGTTCCACAGCTAGTCCAGGTTGTAGACTGCAGACTAATCCAGTGCAAGCTATGCTGCCACATGGACCTTATGACCCAGCAGATCCAGGAGCACTTGACGTTTCGATGGTAAATAGGGATGCTGTGTGGAGCCCATGGCAGACCCCAGGAGGATGGCCTGAGGGTTTGAAGCAAAGCCTCCAGATAACTGTTCTCCTTATGAGACACTGCTCTGCCTTATTCATGGACCTTATAGAGAATGAACCCCTGGCCCTATGACATGAGCTGCCCACAACTGTCTGGGTGTTATCTGATTTATTAGGCTTCATAATTAGGCATGCCCAGAAACACTTTGTCACCGAGTGGAAATGGTATGTGCGAAATCAGACTCGCAGATCCCAGAGGAACAATCAAGTCCCATGTGTTGACGGCTCCGGCTCCTATTGCACATTCTTCGGCTGCACTGCCTGCCTGCCTTCATTCAGTGCGAGGTTTCTATGGAGAGCTCCCTGCGAGCAAGTGACTGAGGCGTGAGTCTGATTTACAGATGTTTTTTCTCATTCTACAGGCAAATTAAGAAGAGGGCGTTATAGCCACAGTCAGAAGTGTGCTAAACAGACACACACACACACACACACACACACACACACATACACGGGAGGGGAAATCCTTTTTGTGAGCATAACTTTAAGCAACATCTCTCACTGTCCAGTTTGAGGGGCCTGAGAGATGGCTCGTGATGTGGATGGGCCTCTACCTAAAATGGGTGATGGCTCATGGTTTGGCTGGATTGTCAGGGATTTGGAAAGAAAGGAACAGAAGACTGTCTGCATGTGGTATATAGATGGACCTCTTACACTGGCACAGGGCATGAGGATGTTTGGTTGAATGTTACGAGCTATGTGAACACTCGCAAAGGGATCTGCTACACACAAAGCTCTTAATAATGAGGTAAAGAAGAAAGCCTATACAGTGGATGTCTGTCAGCTCCTTCCTTCAAATGTCCAAAGAAGGCACTTGCTCAATCGGTTTGTGTACACGAGACATGATCCAGGCATGGAGGCTATGCATGGGCCCAGCACCATGGACTTTTCATCACCCATTGTGCCTGGTTACTACCATCAAGTGCTCAAGCCGACAATAGCAGAAGCCCAGGCTGGCTCCTGTGATGACATCATTGGGTGGGGAATGGGGACAATCCAGCCACGAGCTACCCTGAACCCTTCCATAAGGAGGGGCTGAAATTGTCTTCCTGGAATAGATACTTACTCTGGAGAGTGATTTGTCTTCTCTGCTTGCAATACTTCTATGAATACACACCATGGACTTAGGGATTGCCTTATTCACCTCCATGGTATCCCACACAAACTACTTCAGACCCAGCAACTCATTTCACAGCAAAAAGCACAAACAAAACCCCAAAACATAGCAATGGACTTATGCCAATGGAACTCGCTGGTCTTACCATAACATCTAGTAGCATCTAGCCCAGCCGTGGGCAAACTACGGCCCGCGGGCCGGATCCGGCCCATTTGAAATGAATAAAACTAAAAAAAAAAAAAAAGACCGTACCCTTTTATGTAATGATGTTTACTTTGAATTTATATTAGTTTACACAAACACTCCATCCATGCTTTTGTTCTGGCCCTCCGGTCCAGTTTAAGAACCCATTGTGGCCCTCGAGTCAAAAAGTTTGCCCACCCCTGATCTAGCCTGAGAGAAAGGTAGCACGGCCTCCTAAAGATTCAATTAGGGTTCTGAGAGAATGTCCTGAGAGGTGGGATCACTATTGTACAGGATGCAGTATATGCTCTAAACCAACGACCAATATATAGGGCTTTATTTCCCAGAGACAGAATCAATGGATCCGTAAATAAAGAGGTGAAGATAATGGTACCCAGTTCCTCTGTTACCCCTAATAATCCACTTACAGACTTTTTTGTTTCCTATCCCCACACTTCCTGTAATGGGCACTTGTTAGAGAGCTTAGTTCCTAAAGGAAGAGAGACAATTGTTCCATTGAACTGGAAGGTAAGATTGCCATCTGGCAATTTGGGTCCCTCATGTTGCTGAACCAACAGACAAAGGAAGGGGTTATTGTACTTGGTTGGGGTGATTGATTCTGTTGACCTGTATCAGTTGCTACACGACGCTGGCAGGAAAAACTAGGTCTAAAACTGAGAGGAGTCTCTAAGGCAGCTCTGAGTCATGTGTTACGTCCACACACCACAGGACTGAAAAAGAATTCGTACCCTTCAAAAATGAAGGTTTGGGCTGCCTCACTAGGTAAAAACACTGACCAGCTGGCTGAAGGCCAGGGATGGGGAGGATGGGGGTAGAAAAAGGACGTTATAAATATCAGCTGTGGCTTTGTCACCGGGCCCAGAAAGAAAGAAAGTGGCAGATATGAATAGTTTCTTCCTCATCTGGGTCTGGTCATTTTCTTTCTTCTAATCCCCTATTATTTTATAGAGAGAGTGCTGGTGACAATTAACTTACAATATAAAGTCTTGAGTGAATAAACAGAACAAAAAAAATGATCGCTCAGAGATAGACATGAAGAGTTTTAGACATTGGTGTCTCCATTTGGGGCGGGGGGAGAAGGTGAAAGCATGTTTGCACAAAGGGAAGTTACAACATGCTAGACAGAGCGTGAGGTTGCCATTATTGTAAAATAGAAGTTTTAAAGTGGGTAGAAGAGAGCATGTGGGTCATTGCCAGCCATAGGGAGGATCTGTGACAGTCTATTCACCTATTGTCTTCTGCCCTCCTGCACTGTGCTCTGTGACACTGGGGCTGGGGAGATGAGGAACACATTTCTAAGACACGTTTGACAGCTTGTTCTAGCAGATTCTGCTAGTGAGAGGCTCTGGGGAGGTAGACAGGAGAAGAGATTTTTCTTCCCCTGCTCCAGCAGCTGTCAGCATCTCTCTACACAAATAGATGGCAGCGACTCTAGCATCTTTTGGCCCCCGGACAGCATGCGGGGCGCTCTCGGGAGGCCCAGCAGGCCCAGCTCTGGCCACAAGGCAGCCCCTCGGAGATCCGAGCCAGCTGAGCAGTGCCCTCAACGGTCTGAGCACAACTGCATGGCACCCGGTCAGCCAACTCAGCACAGCTAAGCAGTAGCCTCCTTCCCAATCCCATCCCACTCTGAGGCAGCTGCTCCTTACTCTGCCCCCTGGCCCTGGTATCTCTGCCTCTTTCTTTTGTATCCTCTCACCCAGCCTGAGTGATGGTAGCTACTTCCAGTTTACTAATCTCTGGGTTAGCTCACCATCCTTGTTTTCTTCCTTTCAGCCTATTCATTCCTTGTATAGCATCACCTCTGTTTAAAGGGCAGAGGGGATACATGGTGATGGAAAAAACACAATGAAGTAAAATAAAATACCTAGTGTGCTTTCTGTTCTCCTAACTGAACCCGATAGAGACTGGCATATATTTTAAAAGCAGATAGTTTTTTTTAAAAAAAGTGAAAACACATAGCCCGAATGGAAATATTTAATATTTATGGACATCTTTGATTATTCTTTTACATAATTGAACCTCCAGAATCCACCCTCTTTCTGTCCCTGGACAGTGTGAAACCTCATTATTCTCCTGGGGGTCACCAAGCGGCATCTTGCCTAGCTCCTGGCCCTTTTTGCCAGACAAAGGCACAGGATGCCGGCTCCTCCCGCAGTGCTGAGCGCAGGCACCGAAAGCATTACTTAGCTGTGAGTGTCAGGAAGTCAAAACAACCTGTTTTTGGTGTGTGTGTGTGTGTGTGTGTGTGTGTGTGTGTGTGTGTTTTCAAAAATTGCAGTGTCTGCCTGTGCCCATTACACAGAATGCCCTGCGCTATGGAAACATAGCGGCCCCTCCCTGTCTCTGGGCGGCAGGGTCAGTGTGGGTCAGTCTGCAGACTGACACGTGAACTTCCCGCTTCGATCAGCTGTCATAGGATCAGAGCAGTCACGGTGCCGATGCTTCTTGGAAGTCGTGTTCTGAAGGACTGACTCCCTCTTCCCCGAGAGCGTGACAACATTTACAGGCTTCCTAACAGTTCCGGGCAACGGACAGAATCCCAAAGTGAAACCGTGAGCAGAACGGCATGTCCCTCCTTTGCTTTCCACTTGATTTCTGTGACAACCCCATCAGCATCGGTACATGAGGACATGAAGTCATTTTCTGTTTGTGGGCTTCTTTGTAAACTGAGAGCCTCTAGCACAGTGGTTCTCAACCCTCCTAATGCCGCGACCCTTTAATACAGTTCCTCATGTTGTGACCCGACCATAACATTATTTTCGTTGCTACTTCATAACTGTAATGTTGCTACTGTTATGAATCATAATGTAAATATCTGATATGCAGGATGTATTTGCATTGTAACAAGTTGAACATAATTAAAGCATAGTGATTAATCACAAAAACAACATGTAATTATATATGTGTTTTCCGATGGTCTTAGGCGACCCCTGTGAAAGGGTCGTTCAACCCCCAAAGGGGTCGCGACCCACAGGTTGAGAACCGCTGCTCTAGAATGACGTGAGGGCTCCCGTGGCCACAGGTATGGAATTCCTATCATTCCAATGGATACACAAGCCACCGCAGGCTTTTTAGAAACATGCTTTTCTGTCATTGTTGAGTTTCTCCCACAGAGGCGGAGGTGGCCAAGTTCCCCTGCACTGGGAGACGGGGACTTGGGTTTCATGTCATCCCGGCTTCTACAGATGGGCGACAGGCAGATGCAAGATACAGGGACCTTTCCATCGGCCACCATGGGCCTCCTGAGTGCATTTCCAAACAGGTTCTTCTTTTAAAAGAGGCTCTGACCCCCCCCCCTTTAATTTCAGTCATGTTACCAGTCATGCCAACTTTAGTCATTGTCCGGCTTCAGAGTAAAGAGTGGGGAAGGGGGGGGGGATCAAGTGGTTTTTAAATATTTTGAAATGACAAAAAAGGGAGGGAGAGGACAATGGCATCATTTTGAATATGAACGGCTGCTTATTTTAAGAACAGTCACTCTGGCCATGGCCCCGCAGATGATGTAGGAGAGGAAATACTTTCTGCATGAGGAAACAGAGGAGCAATATTGAGACAGGGTCCTGTTGTTTCCTCCGGGGCTGGTCTTTCTAGACGTACGTGGCCGAGGGTTTCTTCTTGCCCCAAACCGCGGGGACAGAAGAAAGTGCCCCACCGAGAGCGGAGATTTACAATTTGGGGAGAACTAAACGAATTATCGGAACCCAAGAGAAAAACCGTTTCCTCTGGGAGATTCGCTTTCTCCTTCTCTGTACTCCCACGCTCACATCTGTGGTAATTATTTGCTTAGATCTGTCCCTTTGCTGGAAACATGTCTTATTCATCTTGGTGTGGGCCCAGCATTAGCCAGTGCCTGGCACAAGACGGTTCAGTGAATGTTTATCCAGTAATGATGGATGCTTGGAAACTAGGTCTTATATCAACCTCAGTAATGAAGCTGCCTGGACATTCAGAATAAAATTGTTGGCAGAGATTAGTTCAGAACATCCTTAACGCGCGTTACCCAAAGTTTCAGGATTTTAGCAATAAGGAATGATAAAGACTGTGGAGGCCCCGGGTCAGGAACATGATGGAAGGGGAAGGCAGTGGGCAGGACTCTGTGCAGACTTCATGCGCCCCATACCCCCACCCTCTGAGCCTTAGGGTGTGACTGCTGAGATAACCCCAGTGCATGGCTATATATATACACACACATTTGTGCAAAACAATGTCTTTCTGGTCAAGGAGTCAGCCTTCCGACAATAAACATATCTCTTAAAGTATTCATCATAAAAACAAAAACAAAACGAACTCCAGGCAGCAAACAGTGGGGGGAGGGGGGCGGGGGGTGGTGAATAGTTGAAGTCCTGACACAGCACCTATTCAAAATGATTGACTGTTTATTATCTAGAAAGAAAGAAATGCTCTTTTGTTGTTCTGGATACGAGGAGGGCTTTCATAGGTAGACTGGAGGGGCTGTCCTGCACTGTCCCCCTCAGAGCCTCCTGGTAGTAACTAGCTCTGGAAATGAAGACCCCAGTGACGAGCAGGAGACGGAAGAGCCGCCTGAGCATTTGAAATCACTCCAAATTATGTTCTCTTTTCTCAGGACAGGCTCTGCTTTGGTTCCGATAGTATTCTTACCAGTTTCTCCCTCAGGCAGTTGAGTGCTGTGCCTATCTCGGACAAGGGATCACAGCCTTATGAGATGGTAACCAGGTTGCCCGACATCAATGCAAGTACCATTCTCTTTGCATTCCTGCTCTTTAATCCTATTGCCTGTACCTGTCAAAGGCAACACACCGAAAGGAACCAAGAGAAGTAGCTCACTTATGAACTATAGATGTAAAAAAAAATAAATAAATAAAATAGCGGCCAATCCAATCCAGCACTGGATTGAAAGGATACACAAATAATGGGGAACTTGGTAACGGACGCACGGGACTGCAGCACCTGGATCCTGACACCACTGAGTAGGACAAGCAGATTTTATGTGCCTCCTGACGTGGAACAAAAGCAAGGAGACAGTACCTCCTTTGAAATAGTCTTGCCTAAAATTTGAACTTTAGTCTACTCTAGGTCTAATGAAAGAAAATGCCAGGGAAAGGAGAGTATGTTTATAACCACAAGGATGCAATCAATCAAATCTTGAGTGCAGAGTATGAAAAAAAAGACCCCATTTTTTTCAACAAAGCACACACACAAATTAAAAAGAAGGGAGGGCTATTGTAAAGAGACTTCTTAAAACAAATCAGCAATTCCAAAAACCCAATAGTGATGCAATTGGAGAACGTTGAACTTGGATAGGTTGCTGTATGACTAGGAAATGATCACATGTATTAATTGGTCCTTTTGTTAGATGTCATAATGGCATTGTGCTTGTGTTGTTAAAGCCCTTATCTAGTAGAGAACCATATTATAGTATTTATGGGTAAATGGTAGGTTGTCCTAAAATTTGTTTTAAAACACTCCACCAAAAAGGGGAGGAAGAGAGAATAGATGAAACAAGAATGTTGATAATTATAGAATTTGGGTGTAGGTTATATAAGAATTTATTACATTATTCTCTACACTTTGGAGTTGGTCTGGAAATTTCCATAACTAAAATTAAATGAAAATAAATACCATAATCAAATAAGGGGGTTTCCAGAAATGCAAAAATTATTTGACATTAAAAATACTTCACCACAACAAAAAGTACAAGGAAGAAAATCACTTAAGCAATTAAATACATGCTAAAAAAGGTCTTTGGAAAATTCAATATGTAGTCCTAATATTAATAACAAAAATGTTGGAAACAATAACAGAGGACATGTTAAATGTATGATGGTATTTTCACCTGATAAAATAGCATGCATTTGTTAGGAAATAATGTAGGAGAATAACTAGTGACATGGAATTATGTTCATAATATGCTAAGTAAACAAAATGTTTTACTAAAAGATTACAGTATGATTTCATTTTCTATTAATATATGTACCAAATGTTGAGGAATGGTTAGATGTTGGTTTGGGATTGTATGTGATCTTCATTTTATTCCTTGTACTTAGCTAATTCTCCAAAATGTCTACAGATAACACATATTACTTTTTCAATAAGGGGAAAGCACACAATGTTATTTTAATTTTTTATTTGAAACTCTTATGGTCATTTTTTTTCAGTTACAAATACTCTCATCTTCCCAACATTTTTTCACTTTGCCCAAATCTGAAGAGACTTGTCAAATGCCATGTTGAAATCAAAATCTGTAGTGTTTGCAGTGTTCCCAATAATGTTATTGGAACAAACCCGAAAGGCCCTTTTGAAAACAGTGCTCATATTAAACACTTGAAACTCTTCTGAGATAATTAAGTTATGTCAATTATATTTTAAAATAATTCCTAATTTACAATTCATGCATATGGTACAAAGTGTGAGAAAATACAAAAATGGAATCAGTTTGTATATGGCAGGAGATAAAGGAATTTGCTTTTTTTCATTTTTGTAATAATGTTATAAAGGAAAGAAACTATGTAGAATGTTTTAGAATGATTTGTATCCAAATTGAGTTGAATTGCTAAAATTTCAGTAAAAGGGGTAGCTTCCCTCTGCCCAAAATGTACTTTATGGGATGCTACTTTGCTGCAAAAGTTTGAGATAAACACATAGTTTTCTTAATCAAATAATAAATGAATTATTAGGGAATCGAATTAAGCTTTATTCTGAACTTTGTTGCTAAAAATCTAATTGTTGTATATACCATGTGCTGATAGTTCTGAAGAACTGAAAAGGCAAAAAATGAATTAAACTAAAAGGAAATCAAACATCCTCTAAAATTCATGTTTTCCAAAACTCTGTCATTGAACCTGACACTTCAGTCTCATTCATATATCACACTGAGCTTTTCTCTATGAGTGGATTTGGTTTATTAGCAGCCTAATTACTAAATTTGCACAGTAGATAAAAACTTGTTTACAAAAGGGTGTTCCCTGTGAAAAGTTCAAGTTTTATAATTAACTTTTTAAAAAAGGGAAAAATAAGCAAATGGGACTACATCAAACAAAAAGCTTCTGCACAACCTGGCAGTGTGGCTCAGTGATAGAGCATTGGTCCTCACAATGAAGAGTCATGGGTTCAATTCCCAGCCAAAGACATGTATCCGGGTTTCAGGTTCATTTCTCCCCTCCCCCATCCCCGCCGGCCTGTGCAGGATGCAACCAATTGATGTGTCTCTCTCACATCAATGTTTCTCTCTCTCTCTCTCCCTCCCCCATTTCCCCCTCCTTCCTTTCCACTCTCTGTAAGAATCAATGGAAAAAATATCCCTGGCTGAGGATTAAAAAAAAAAAAATCTTCTGCACAGCAAAAGAAGCCATCAACAAAATGAACAGGGAACCCACTGTATGGGAGAACATATTACCAGTGATACATCTGATAAGGGGTTAATTTCCAAATATATAAAGAACTTATACAACTCAACACCAGGAAGACAAGCAATCCAATTAAAAAATGGGCAAAGGATCTGATTAGATACTTCTCCAAATAGGACATACAGATGGCCAATAAACATATGAAAAAAAGTTCACTAATTATCTGAGAGACACAAATGAAAACCACAGGGAGATATCACCTCACACCTGTCCAAATGACTACCATCAACGAGACAACAAACAACAAGTGTTGCTGAGGATGTGGAGAAAAGGGAACCCTAATACATTGCTGGTGGGAATGCAGACTGATGCAGCTACTGTGGAAAACAGTATGGAGTTACCTCAAAAAATTAAAAATGGAACTGCCTTTTGACCCAGCAATTCCACTCTGGGAATTTATCCTAAGATTCCCAAAACACCAATTCGAAAAAATGTATGTAACCCTAGCAGCATTATTTACAATAGCCAAGATCTGGAAATAGCCCCAGTGCTGGTCAGTAGATGAGTGAATAAAAAAGATGTGATACATTTACTACTTGGCTGTTAAAAAAAAAGGAAATTGTACCATTGTGGCAGCATGGATGGGCCTGAGAATTATTATGCTAAGTGAAATAAGCCAGTCAGAGAAAGACAAATACCATATGATCTCACTTATATGCGGAATCCAATGAACAAAATAAACTCACAAACAAAATGGGAACAGAGGCATGGGTCCATGGAACACACTGACAGCTGTCAGAGGGAACTGGATGAAAGAAGGTGAGCAGATTAGCCAAAGAATACCTGCGCATAGCCCACAGACACAGACAGCAGTGTGGTGATGGCCAGAGGGAAGCGGATACAGGGGCTGGCTGGAAGTAGGCAATGGGGCGGAGAGGGAGCATGGGGACAGTGTAACAGTGTCAACAATAAAAATAAAGTTGAAAAAAAGAAGAAAGCTCCAGAGATATTATTGAGCTGAAGAAACAGTATGCAAACCACTATCCTCATTCCATAACTAATACCCCCATCCAATTAGCATCAAAACTATTGTGATTTCAGAGGGAGTGTGGCCTAATGAAGGTCAATTGGACTGCACGTTAAATTAAATGCAGAAACGTTATTTAGCATTGACCATCGGCCTTCCTTCTATATTTAGTATTTTGCATCCCTGAAAATGCAAAACTATGTTTAAAATGCTCATTTTTCCAACTGACCAAGGTAAGACTCAATATGAGATGATCCTTTGCTGATGTGACTTGATAGCTGTATGATACTATGTTCTAACTTTTCTTGTAATAATAGAAACACACTGATCCAAGACCTCATATAATCTAAATTAAATGTATCTAATTTCCGCATAAATTATTGAACTGCTATTTTAGATGAATTAGTTTTACCCTATGTTTTCTCAGCCTTGTGACAAAGGTTCCAAACCACTGACTGGAGAAATATATAATACTGAAAGTGAAAATTAATAATACTGAAAGTTTCAACTTGAGCCAATTTTTGACTAATACCATAAGACTTATATTAATCATAGTATAGTTTATTCATTTAATTCTAGTGAATTCAAGAGCTACATGGTATATCAAAGAACCTAACAAACTGTCATTTTTTTTCAGTATTCTTATATAACATTTGATAATGTTATATTGACATGAAAACATGAAATTTTAGAAACTAGGAGAAAAGCAAAATATTTAGCTTACTCTTTTTTTATTGTAATAAATTCTAAAACAGAGTTGGAGATGCTAGTCTATATGATATTATAAAACACTCTTCTTTAGGATTGAAGTTTTTGTTTCTTATCAATCTAAAATTCATTAGGGAAAACGAAAATGAACACACACACACATACACTTACACACACAGTGCAGTGAGCAGAACCCAGTGTCAACAACAACAAATTCTTTTAGAGTGCAGTGATTATATTTATTTCCAAGTTGTTCACATTTTATTACTATTCACAAAACTCGAGATAAATAGTTCTTTTCAACTGGGCACTAGCCTTTCTAGGAGAATTGCTCCAGAAGCTATAGTTCTAGTCATGCTCTTTCTTTCCTGAGTTCCAGATATATATATTTCTACCTGCCTCCTGGTCATCTTCATTTAGATGATCCATACAGATAGTATACAACCCTAGAACCCATTTCCCTCACCCCACTCCCACCCTACTTCTGCCCCTAGGTTTCCAAAATTCAGAAAATGTCATTGCCCTCCACACAGTCATATGGTTGTGAGGGCTGGAAGTTTTCTCTCATTGCCCATGCTTAATTAGGACCAAGACCCAGAAAGCCAAAGAAACATCCCTCAAATGTATACATTCTATTACATTTCCAATGGCTTTGTTCTTTTCAGGTCATCCTTTCCTCTGGAGAATAATATTTTAA